TAGAAGAAAAACAAAATCTCTTCTTTTGGATTGGATAAAACTTGAGTGGTATGCCTTCTGCTTGGAAAGCTCCTTTGATTTGGAGGGGTAAGCTTTAGATGCAGGTCAAAAAGCTGACTTTTCTAAGGATTTAACATGACCTTTCCTATTTTTTTTTTGAGGTGTTGGAAGCCTTATATCGTCTGCAGTGGACCTCAACAGATGGCCTGGGAGTTCTGATAATATCACCTACGAGAGAACTAGCCTATCAGACCTTTGAAGTTCTCCGAAAAGTAGGAAAAAATCATGACTTTTCAGCTGCTCTCATCATTGGTGGAAAGGTGTGCTCTTTTGTCTTTCCTTCTTCTTTAACCTATGTCAGAGTACTATGGCAGTTGACAAGGAAGGAGTGGTGACCTCATTTGAACAGACTGACCTCCTAGACAGGGCCTCATGGGGTGGTAGCACCTTGGTGTGGTCACTGTCACCTAGAGTCTGATTGTCAATTTTGTTGGACCAGAAAGTCTGTTTTTGTCAGGGTATCTGAATTGATTAGGCTCTCCGAGACAGATTTACTCTAATTATCTTGTAAACCTACCTATTCATTAATATCCATTGGGAAATATAACATTTCAATATGAGAACGAGTACCTCCTAGTAAGGTATCTAAGAGATTGAATAATCCAGAACATTGCTATGTCAGCAGCAGAAGAAAGGAAGGTAGATTGTTTTGAGGAATTTTTATTTTAGGTTATAAGACCTGCTGTTCAACTTTTGTTCTGCCTAACAATGTAATACATCTGGAATGCCTGTGTCTACTGGAGCCTTCTCTGGACTGTGAGGATAAATACTTCTTGAATTTCTAAGCAAACGTACACCAAAGAAAGAATAGTATCACAAACCCTCATGTACCTGTCAACCAACTTAACAGTTAACAACATTCTGCAGTTCTTAAGGAGAGTAGCTCTAAAATACAGAGAGCTTGGCTCTTTTTTTCAAAGTGCAGTGAGTGTGTTACAGTCTGTTCAATGCCCCTGGATCCTGACTTAAAGAATGGGAGTAATTTCAGTTTTTAAGTCAGTTCTGACAGACCCAATAGGAAATCATGACTTGGAGCATTCATGTGATTATTTTTTCTTGGCCTCAAAATCCTGGATATGATTAAGAACATAAAAGAACTCTGAGCTCTTTGTCTTTACTTAAAGACTTTATTTAGCACAGAAATTTGGATATGCTGCAGATACTGAAGGGAGAAGTTATGTCTGTTTCCAACAGTGTCTAAACTGCTGCTGATACGCCACACGGAAATGGTTTTTAGTTTTGGTACACAGGCTGCTCGGAATGATGTGTCTGTAATTAAAAGAAACAACTGTTTTCAGGATCTGAAACATGAGGCTGAGAGGATCAACAACATAAATATACTCGTGTGCACACCAGGTCGGCTTCTTCAACACATGGATGAAACAATATCTTTTCATGCTACTAATCTCCAAATGTTAGGTGAGTCTAATGAATTTCTAAT